GTCTAACCCAGAACGGCTATTCGTCAGTTTCTGCTTAAGGACAGGACGAGGAGCCCGTCTGCCTCACGCCGAGATGCTCCTTACTCTCTGGCGGCCTCCTTCCCAGAAGGTCTCAAGCGGGACGTGAGGGTCGCAGTTCTCTCCCCCCCTCCCCCCGCTTGCCTTCAGCCACAGGGCTTCCCACCAGCTGTCCCAGCTCAGCTCTGCTGCATTGCCCACCTGGGTGTAATCTCCTTCCACTAAGCCGCTTGTCTTGACATGTTTGCGGATTTTGGAACCCTCATGTGAGAATCCCTTCTGCAGCCTCCAGGTTGGGACGCGTCACAAAATGAGAGTCGCCACCGTCGCCCTTCTCCTGGTGCTCCTTGCGGGTGAGTGCGGATGCCAGCGGGCAGGGCGTTTTTCTTGAACATTTTAATAGTGGACACTTCAATCAAGTGGGCAGAGAGATTTGGCAGCTCCAGCCTCCCTACCAGCCCCAGTGGGAACGGTGGGCCATCTCTGGCAAGAGAGGAACAGCCTCGGGACGGGCAGGGAGCCAGGGGTGGAAGTTCCTCCTCGATGGGGCTAGACTGGGAAGGACTGGCCCACCCCTTCCCCTCGGAGGCCCTGGGATCGCCCGCGGAGACCTGTCCCGCTTGCTCTGACGTGGCTTGTGTTGCTGCTCCTGCAGGGACCCAGGCCCGCCACTTCTGGCAGCGCGATGAGCCCCAGCAGACCCCCGTGGAGCGCTGGGTCGAAGCCGTCTACGCCTACCTGGAGACCACAAAGGCCGGGGCCAACGAAGCCTTGTCCCAGATTGATGCCTCCACCCTGGGACAGAAGCTCGAGTGAGTGGGGTCCTCTGGAGAAGTTCTCCCTGCGCCTCGGCGGGTTCTCCTCCAGCCTGGAGGCAGCCTCCAAAGGGAGGGCTCGGCCACCCGAGGACGGGCTTTTTCGGATTGCTGCCAGAGATTGCGGGAAGGGGCTGCTGTGGTCCCTTCCCAGCTCCGTGGCACCAGCTGCTGGGTCTGCTCGGGCCACCCTCGTGGAACCTTTGGCGTGATCCATGGGCCATGTTAGTTGGAGAAGGACAAACCCCCGATTGCCTCGCGACCCTTTGACGACTCAGCCGTTTGTCACACCCTCCCCTAGACAGGGTGGCCCCTTGGTGGCGGTGTCCCCCCCCCCCCCAGTGATGGAGCCACAACTCATGCCAAATGTTAAAAGTTGCCAGGGAAAAAACGTTGGTGGGGACCTCCTGGCACAGCCCTGTCTGGTGCATGGCTTCCTGTTTTGGGAAAGGCACAGTGAGGAAGGATGTGGACCGTGAGGCTCCTTGCTTTTCCAAGAGGGGGAAAGATGAATAGAACTTGGGGGGGGGGGACCACATCCCATCCAACCAACCAACACTGTGATCAGATTTTTTGAAAGTCAGAGAAGGGGAAACCTGGACCCAAAAGAACGGAAGGAGGCCAAGGATGACCCTTGGCGGTGGGCAAGAGGCCAGATGTTTGCTCACCCACCTTGTTGCCCATTTTGGGTGCAGAATGCCATGACGAGGCCAAATCCCAAAGCCTGACAGGTCACTTTGGGCTGTGGGGTTCTCCCAAGGTTTTGCCTGCTTATGGGGTGGAATGTGGGGTTCTGGGGGGGGTGTTGCACCTGGCCAGAGAAACAAGCCTTCCTTGGAAGAGTTGGTCCACCCTTTTTCCTCCTGGGCTTCAGAGCCAGGGGCCAGACGGGCCGGGCACCTGCTGTGGCCCTCTTCTTCCCCCCCTCTCTCTACCCAGCCCCCAGCATCTCGGGTGATTTGCCTCCCCTTCTCTTTGCAGCCTGCACCTGCGGGATTCCCTGCAGACCCTGACGGGGGCCCTGTCCAAGGTCCACGAGGAGTTCTCCCCCCAGGTGGAAGCCTTCAAGGCCCAGCTGCACACTGACCTCGAGAACGTCCAGCAGCAGATGACCAAAGACCTGGACCAAATGAAGACCAAGATCAAGCCCTTCGTGGATGACTTCAACCAGAAGTTCCAGCAGGACATGGTGGCCTTCCGTAACCGCCTGGAGCCCGTCATGCAGGAGGTGCGCCAGATGGCGCGCCAGAACATGGAGGCAGCGCAGCAGAAGGTGCAGCCTTTGCTCGAAGAGGCCCGAGACAAGTTTCGCACCCACGTGGATGAGCTGCGCAAGAACCTGGCCCCCTACGGCGAGGAGATCCGGCAGAAGTTCAGCGAGAAGATGCAGGAGCTGCGAGACAAAGGCTTCCCAGAGTTGACCCAGTACCAGACTCAGGTCCAGCAGCATCTCAGTGCCTTGAGGGAGAAACTCGTCCCCCTCGGGGAGAAGCTGCAGGCGGAATTGACACCTTTGTTTGAGACGGCCAAGACTCGGCTGCAGAACCTCATGGGCGACGTCCAGAGGAGCCTCGAGCAGTACATGCAGCAGCAGCAGCAGCAGCAGCAACAGGGGGCCTAGAGGCCCTCGTCTTCTGCGGGGTGTGTGTGTGTGTGTGTGACGGGGACGCGTGCGCACGCACACACACTTCTTCCTTTCTGGGCCTCTCCCGCCCTCCCTTCTCGAGGTGGCCCCAAAGAAGCACTGCCTCCCCATAGCATATTTCCCCCTGACTTTGTTTTGAGCCATCCAAATCCTCTCTGGCCGGAAAAAGAGCAGGAAGGGGTGTGGGTGTGGGTGTGGCCCCGGCCCTCCTCCC